CAAGTTTCTTTCCTCTTCTGTGGACCTGTTACAATGCAAGGGCTGAGTCCTATGCTTTAAAGGTCCTTGATGGCTGTCCATTCTGTGGTCCTACAATATAATGCCTCAATAATCTAGGAGAAATCCCTGATTGTCCCTGAAATAATGGTGCAGGGATTCTGGGGCAAGTCGCAGAACTGAGCCCAGAACACAGACATGCAGACATGAGATGGGCTCTAAGGGAGGAGTCTCTGCACTATCTTCTAGTCTTCTTACACAGAAATTAGATTTCTTGCTGGATACAATGTTCCTGTGTCTTTTCTCTTCTAGGTGTGGCTTCTTACTTCCTTCCACTTCTTTTTCACACACACAAAAAAAGGACCCAGATTTTGCTCTCAGAACATCTCTAGTCACTGGTCAAAGGAAGCTCCCAGGATGAGAGGAGACCCAAGCCGTGTTCTCAAGGAGCAATATGTCAACTTGGGCACCTACCACTCTGCTCTCCTGATTAAGGCTGGTGGCACCATTGAGTTAAAATCTTGGTGGGGTTCATGCTTTGAGGATCACAGCTTCAAACATGTAATTAATGTTAGGATTTGTAGATGCTGATGCTATAAGGGATCTTTAGGGATAATCTAGCACATGTTTCCTGACTATGAAGATGGTAGTAAATTCTGAAATGAACTCAACAGAGGGACTGCAGAGAACTCTTAGAGGCCAGAAGATCTTCCTAAGAAGAACTGCCCATTAGGTCAGATGACCTGTCTCTTTCAGCAGGGGCCAGACAGATGACATGTGTTAGTCCCCTCCACCTCAGAGATGCCAGAATTCTGATTCTGTGAATTCATGAATACCCATCCCTCTTATCCTATGAGTCTACTGGACTACTATTGCATGAATCTACAAGTTTCTGATTCTATGAGCTTGTGTCCAAAGAGAAAAATAGGTTTGAAGATAACCCTGTGAGTCACCCCGGCACTTGTACCAGTCATCTGACTTCACCATGCCTTGCCTTCCCAGTCTATAAAATGGGCAGGGCACAACCCACCCACCTGTTTTGATGGCACATGGAAACAGCATCTCTCACCAGGGATGTTAGTGCTGCCTGAAGATGTCAAACCCATTAGTGAGAACCTGACCCCACAGAGCAGGAAGTGAGCCAATCAGAGCTCACAGATGGCACAAGACACACGAATTGGCTACTGGCAGGATGGTCTCTCAGCACATGGAGAAAGGAAGATGGTCCAGGGTGCACTGTCAGTGTAAAGCATCCCCATTCATTCATCTATTTACATGTTTGTCTAGTCAGTGGTCCCCAGGTCCTGTGCTAGAGCCAGGTGATAAACAGTGAATGCATCCACAGTTACCACCACATGGAATTACATATAGTCTAGTAGGAATAACTCCATGGATGGCCAGGATGTGGAAATGCACATTTCCTTTGTAGGATAGTCTTCTACAATCATAGACTATCCCAGGAGGGGCCTCATGTAACTATTTTAGGGTGGAAGAGCCATTGAGAGATGATTGGATATATATATATCACATTCCATTATTATATCACAGTATATATATGTATATAAATATTCCATTATTATACATCACAGTCATAAAAAAGATGAAATATTGTCATTTGTGACATTATGAATCTTGAGCATGTTATGCTAAGTGAAATAAGTCAATGGAAAAAGACAAAACCCGTATGATTTCACTCATATGTGGAATATGAAACAAAAAGTAACAAAGGAACTAATAAAACAAACATAAAAAACTGCATGGATAACAGACAGCAGAACGGTGTTTACCGGAATGGAAGAGGGGCAGGGGTAGAGACTAAACTCTGGGTGGGGAGCACACATTAGAGTGTACAGATGTCAAATTATAATTTTGTACACCTGAAAATTATGTGTTATTAACCAATGTTACCTCGATAAATTTAATGAAAATAATTTAGAGTGGAAGGCACAGCAGGGCACAGTGGAATCACCCTGTGAGGCAGTGGCAAAACCAGGACAAGGGCTTTGTTCTGTTTGTGCCTTGAACTCTCTCTCTTGTTGATGTGCCCTGAAATGGCTGGCCTTCTAGGGCATTTTCTTCCTGGTAAAGTGGAGCTGTTCCATCCTGCATGTAAGATATGGGCTCCTTGACTGTGTCTATTAGGTGCTGAAAGGTATGTTTTCTAAAACATCATGGATTTTAATACAGGAAGCAGCATATTGTGGTGGAAAAAACAGTAAAATTTGAAGTCTCTTATTTCTGGGTTCAAATTCTGAATCTATCACTTCCAGTTATGTGAGCCTGGGCACATTTGTTTGTTTACTTATTTATTTGAGACACTATTATGGGAATAAAACTTGATAGCTATGCCATGTAAAGTGTCTGGCCCCAATTAAAGAACATCCCTCTTCTCTTTCCTCCATAAAACATCAGGCTTGAGTATTAACTGAGGGGGAAGAGCAGGCACTGAAACGTCCTAAAACCACATTCCTCCCCACTTACACCATTCCCTTGGGAAGAGGGACTGGTGGGCTTCACAGAGGAAGCTATGGAGTGTTACAAGCCCACCAGAAGCACTAATGGCAGGAGGAAGCAGGAAACATTCCAAGTTTGGGGCAGGATCTCCCCTTCTTGCCTCCCCCAAATTGTTCAGGGACAGACCTTAAAAGACCTGGTTTGGAGTGGGAAGTGTTTATGAAGTAGTAGGGGTTTGTGTTGTGGGGGTTTTTTTTAATTAAGGAAAGTTTAGAGCCTAAAGGCCTATTAGTCCTGGGGTATTTGGGGATCCATTATGGACAAATGCAGAAGCACCTTTCAGCTGAGAGGCCACAGGGACCATGATGGGGCCTGGGCTGGCTGATTTGAGGGCATGGCATTGGGAACCAGTGCTAGACCCAGGAGCAAGGTAACTTTCTATAGTGGGCAGCTCAACATAGCTTTGTGGGAAGAATATGGACTCTGAAACTAGACAAGCTTGCTAACCCCACTGCCTACCAAATGGGATGCTGTTGGTGAAATTGTTAGGCCTTTGGGTCTTATTTTCTTTTCTGTAAAACATAGCCTACATAACAGGGTTATTGTGAAGATCAAATGAAGTAACAGATAAGACAGTAAGACAGCATTCAGTACATAGTAAGTTCTCAATACATATAATTTCTACCTCTCTTCCTATACACACTGCACTGGGGAAAGGAAATGAGGCAGAGATTCAGGGACAATGCTATGTCCAGAAACAAGAGGCATGTGATAAAGATCATGGCTTATGAAAGCTAACTTCCCACATTTAAATTCTAGCTTCTCTATTTACTTGCTTGTGACAATAGGTAACTTCTTTAGTCTTTCAAGGCCTCAGTGATAGGGCCATCTGTAAGTGTGTGCACCTCATGAACTGTTTGGCACGTAAAGAGAATTCAAGTAAATGTTGGAGTCTACTGTTATTGTTATCACAGTGTTCATTTGGCTGGAATTCCCCCTGTGCTGGGCTCTTGGGCATCTAGGCATGGTAATGAGGTTCAGAGAGATGAGGATAGGGAGGTCATGGGGCATGAGACGGTGAGGAGAGACAGCCTAGATATAAATCGTAGAGTCTGGGATCATCAAGAACTCACCTAGTTTCCCAAATAAACTTAGAATAATCTGTCAGCCTATGGAACAAACCATTTATGAGGGCCTTGCTGCCATATTGAGGCAGAGACCACTGAGCAAAACTCTTCCTGTGCAGCAACCCAGACCAGCAAGAGCCACAGTGGAAAACCTCAGAAAGAATGCAGCATTTAGGCTGAGAAGATGCAATTGTAGCTTCTGGCACAGCATATGAAAAACTGAGCCTCTAACCACATTTTGGAGAAGTCCATGAAGACTCAAGCAACCTAGAAACAGCTTAATAAGGATAGATCTCATCTCCTAACTTCTAGTACAAGAAGACTGACTTGTTTCATGAAGAAGGTATCAGAAATCATTTATCTCATATTCAGGAAAATTCAATCAAGCAGAGACATGCCCTGCCTATGACTTAAGAGCCAGGCACACTGGGAGGAATCTCACCAATGCAATGCCAGCCCTTGTCCTTGTGATCACTGGTGCTTCATTCAGATGCCATTACATTGCCTCATTATTGCCCTATAAAAGGTCTCCCCAATGCCAGATCCTCAGATCACTGACTTCTTCCAGTCTTACTCCTGTCGGCAAAGAGGGTAAGTCTCTGCACCTGGGATAACGACATAGCATGAAAGAGAGTCTTGCTGAAGTTAGCATGGAAAACTGAGGGGTAGGGGTGGTCAGGACTAGGCACTGAGGGCAGCCTCTGAAGGAAGCTGATGGCAGTAGCTGGTAGGAATGAGCTTGGAGGATTGTGGGAGAGGAAGAGGTACGAATAGAGCCATTAGGCCTATGGGAAAAGGGATTTCAGAGAACTAGGTCACTGTTCTCTCTCTTCGAGTACAGTTATGCCGCCCTCTGTTGGGTCCATTAATGAGGTAAAGTGATAGCCTAGTTGATCTAAAGAGCAATGGTGGAAACCTACTCAAATTTGGGCTTGTTAGGGTCTGTCAGGCTCAACTTGAGACTCACGTTGGCTTGGGGTCTATTGATGTGAAATTGCCTTCCCTGGGCATGCCTGGTGGGGCAGGAGGAAGGAAAGCCACTACTTAACAAATTAGTGGCAAAGTAAAATCAGTGAGAAACAACAATTTTCCAAGAAGAATTTATAATGCAGACACTAAAATGAGTAAGGGGAGGGGAGGCTTAGAAAGTTGGGTAGAAATGCAAACATCACTCATTCAGGCCCTTCATTTTCCATTACGGAAACTGAAGCCCAGTGGTGAGTGGTGACTTATCCAAAGTCACACAGCTGGATAAAAGAACAAGAGCTGAGCCTAGGGTGGCTGAGTCTACCTTAATGCCCAGTTGATAGCTTCTGGGTGCCTGTGACCTTTTTGAAAGGCTATTGCCACTATAGGTGCCCCTGGACATCTCCCTAGTTCTGACGAAAACTTTCCTTTCAGATTTTGCAAAGCCACAGAAAGATGTGTGACCAGCAGAAGCAGGTGCAGTTCCCTCCATCTTGTGTGAAAGGCTCTGGATTGGGGGCTGGGCAAGGCGCCAAAGTTACTTCTGTGAAAGGTGCAGGTCCGTGCTCAACTCAGACCTATGTGACATGCCAAGCTCCATGCCAGACAACCTGTGTGAAGTGCCCAGCTCCATGCCCAACTCAGACCTATGTGACATGCCAAGCTCCATGCCAGACAACCTATGTGAAGTGCCCAGCTCCATGCCCAACTCAGACCTATGTGACATGCCAAGTTCCATGCCAGACAACCTGTGTGAAGTGCCCAGCTCCATGCCCAGCTCCGTGCCCAGCTCCATGCCAGACAACCTGTGTGAAGTGCCCAGCTCCATGCCCAGCTCCGTGCGCAGCTCCATGCCCAACTCAAACATATGTGAAATGTGCAACTCCTTGCCAGACGCTTGTGAAGTGCCCTGCTCCCTGCCAGACCACCTATGTGAAATGCCCAACTCCCTGCCAGACATATGTAAAGTGCCCAGTTCCATGCCAGACCCAGAGATACTATGTTCAGTACACCTCTCCTAGCCAGAGCTCCTATGTTCAGGCTCCTGCAAGTGGCTCAGGCACCCAGGCCTGTGTCCCTGATCCTTGCTCTGCTCCCTGCTCCACCAGCTACTCCTGTCTGGCTCCCCGGACCTTCGGAGTAAGCCCCCTCAGACGCTGGGTCCAACGACCCCAGGAATGCAGTTCAGGATCAGCTGGCTGCTGTGAGGATTCTGGATGCTGCAGCTCTGGGTGCTGCAGCTCTGGGTGCTGCAGCTCTGGGTGCTGCTGCTCTGGGATAGGCTGTTTGGGAATTATACCCATGAGGTCCCGAGGTCCCGTATGCTGTTGTCATCATGAGGATGACTGCTGCTGTTAAAAACAGAAAAACAGCTTTGCTCCCGAATTCACTGCCTGCTCTACCTTCTTAGAACTTCACCAGCCCCTGGCCCCCTCCCTGTCTTCCCAGTGATGTAGAACCTCATTACTTCACCTCTGCACTTTGCTTCTTTATCAAGGCAGCCTGCCAGAGTTAGCACAGCCCCCAAACTTTGGTAAGAATAAAGTTTTGAATGCAACTCAGTGACTTCCTGTCTGTGTATTTGGTCCACGTTTTTCCCTCAGAAACTCTTCTGCCTTCCTCTCTTACTCTTCTCAGCTAGAGGAAAGGTCTGCATGGACATGACCAAGCAGACTGAACTGGTGCAATTCCAGCAGGGGATCCCTGTGCATTCTAGAATGCTGTGAGTACACTTCCTTCTGTGAGTTAGCAGCCTTTGAGGGTGGATATTTGAAGGTTGAGGGATGCTTCTTGCCTGCCCTGTGATTAGTATGAGGAGAGGGTTTGGTCATGATGAGGTCCTCAAGGTAGCATGTTCTCTGAATGTAAGTAGACTCAAAGTTCATCTTCCTGGATATTTAAGGAAGTGTGAAATCAGATCTGCTCAAGAGGATCACTGGATGATGCCCCTACTACTGTGCGAATGGCTAGAACCCAGGGTGGCTTTGTGGGTTACATTTTCTCATCTGATAAGCTTGCACTCCTGTGGCCATAGGGTAATCCTGAGGAAAGAGGCTAGGACTCTCTGAAGCAGGTAGACATTCCCTGTGTCAGCCCTGGGGAAACAGCCCTGGAAGGAAGTAAGAAGTCTCTAAGGTGAAGGTGAGCCTCATGGGATAAGTATCTGGGTCCTAAGACCAGTCAGCCTTCCTCAGTAGCATGTCCTTCTCCACTGCTTTGCTAACCCTAGAGGCTTTGGAGTGGATTTTTATAACTAGAAACTATAAATACGCATATTTAAAATATATGTAGAGGGACAACTGCTATTCAAAGCAGCCCCATAAGGCTTGGGGCATGAGCACAGGAGACAAGATGTTTGGTATACACATAAACAAATGGATGGACAAGAGCAGGCAATCTCATGTTTGCCTCCAAGCAAGCTCTGCTGAATCTTCCTGGGACAGATGCATAATGTCATCTTGACTGTTATGCTGCCTTTGCACATCTAAATAACCTCTGGCTCCACAAATCAGACTGTCCCTCTCTCCAAACTCTTGAACTTGCTGCTCAGTTACTGGACCACATTCAGAGTTGGGAGCAACCTTGTCCAGGACCATGATTTTCAGGTCCGTGATTGACACTTGACAATTCAAGTGGCACCTGCAATGTAGAAAGCCAAGTGCTATTTATTCTGCAATTAACATGAGCATGTAATGCTTTTTACATTTATTGTTTAAAAATTAGATAAGTGGCACAAATTATGGAAATATTAATAGAACAGAAATTTATGGATAAAAATTAAAAGTTACCTTTTGACTTCTAATTCCACTGGCTTTTCCAGGGATGATCATACTGAGTTTGGATTATATCCACCTATCTTTGTCTAGGAACCACTCATAGAAAAACCTTACAGCTAAAAAAAATTCCTGAAGTGGTCTAGTTTTTGCAGAGAATGGCATGCCAGAAGACCAGACTAGCATTGACCTATCAAAAAATAGTTTAAGGAAATGCTTTGCTTTTCAAATTGTACACCTGAGTTGCTGCCTCCATTGCTTAGCAACATGTATTTCTGCTTCTCTGAAAAAAAAATGGTGAAGGAATCCAGTTCATAACCCATAATATACTTTTAAAGCCCCATTTTCTCTCCTCTTCATTTCTCCCACATCCCACAGCTGCTCAGGAGCCACTCATTAAATGCCCTCAAATGCTGACATCCAGATATTGTGCCTCCTTTTATCTCTTTCTTTCCTCACTCTCTCCTCTTTCCTCCCTACCTGACTCAGGTCTGGTCCTGGTTGTGTAGCCTGGGTCTATCTGGCTCCTTTGTTAATTTTCTCTCTTCTTTATCATTATCCTGAGATCCTCCGTTCCAGAGGAAGTGACCCTGGAATGAGAACCTCTCTTTTTGTTCTTCAGCTGTTACAACTCTCCAGCCTGTTCTTTTGATTATGTCTAGGGAGGGGGCCTGGGAGTACACTGGCTATGGGAGACTGAGCAGCCTGAGACCAGGATTCTAGAGGCCTTCACGGACCTTGCCTGTCTGGAAGATCTGGAAGAAACTTTTAGGTCTGATTTTCATTCATTCATTGATTTTGTTCTAGGCACCATCTTTCCTATGTTGGAGTTTATAGCAAGTAGAGAGAATAAACAATCGAGTAATTCAGTACACCAGTGTTAAGATACATCTGATCAGAGCTATGAAGAAAGGTTACCAGGTTTTCTCAAAGCCTGAACATTCACATTTTACCTGGCCAGGGAGATCAGCAAGATTTCTCTGAGAAGGTGCAGCTTGATCCCAAAGTTGAGTGGGAGTTAATTAGGGAGCAGCAAGGGAAGAATTTTCCAGGCAGAGGCAAGAGCACAGACTGGGCTCCATGGGAGGAGGGAGACTGGCAGAGTAAGGAGCTGGTGGTAGAGAGTAAAGATGAGGCAGAAAGGGCCTGGCCAGTCCTGCTACAGATGTCACTGATGGGGGTGTCCATGAAGTCAAATCATTGCAAGGTTCTAAGCAAGCAGGTGAAACCATATGACTTGTGCTTAGTAAAGTCTGTTTTTCTTCCTAGAAAGAAAATCATATTTTAAGAGCATATAAAGAATAATCTAAAAAAAATTACCAAGCAGCATTCGTTTACCTGGTTCTGTCCCAGCCCTGTCAGTTGTAACTTGTCTCTGGGTCCAAGTTGCATAGCTGTAAAATGACAGCTTGGGCTGCACTATGAGTAAGGTGTCTTCAAGTGTCATCAGTAGGTGACCTTTGCCATCCATTACAGACAGCATCACACCACCGCATGATGCTGATGCCCTTATGTCTAAAATTTATGGTTATAAAAGTGGCCTTCAGAATATTCAGTTTCAGGAGGGTTTTAGGTTAATCAGAAGTTCTACCATAGTCTGTGTTTTAAACTAAAAAAAAAATCTTAATGCATTGTTGCTTATGTAAAACAATCCAGATTTCCTAACTCCTGGTCCCTCTATAGTATTTATATAGGACATAGTATGAACAATTTAAAGAATGGCAAGTCCAGAAAGTGGAGCCAAACCCCTGGGATGCTGCTCTCCTGGGATCTCAGATGAATCTCCTTCTATACAATTTTTCTAGAACAGGAAAATTTGCTGAATACAATTCAAACTCCCCTTCAGAGTGTGTAATATTTTTTGATGATGTTTTCTTTTTCATGGAAATGCCTATGCAAAAATTACTGAAAGAGGTAGGTTAATATATAGAGATAGATTTCACAATATTTCCCACAATTGAATAAAAATATAGCCACATACATTATATTTTTGTATCTTATAATATGCATATGTTGTATATGAATACATATTGATATTATTAAATATTCATAAGAAAAAATGACTCAGATCTATTCTTGACACCTACAGAGAAGAGCAGAGGGAATTGCCCTTTATTTACTGAGGGCCTGCTATGTACTGGGCACTGTGCTAGTAGTCAGTGTGCATGTGAAGCTTCTCTTATCTGAGCAGTGAGATGAGTGATATAAACTGTCTGGTAGGTATGGGGGAGCAAAAGCCACTTTGTGGTAAATTGGACTTTTGAGTCAGACAGGTCCCATTTCCTGACTTTATGACTTTAGATGAGTTATATGATCTCTCCACTCAGAGGGAGTGTCTCATTAAACTGCTGACATGGTACCTAGTGAATAGTAGGTCCACAATGTGTTAAGCCATTTTCTTGTTCCTGGTTGGAGGGGTTTTGTTGATAAATTTGAAAGGCAACTTAGAGAGTAAGAGACTGACAATCATATCGAATGAAAAGTTTTAAGGGATTCTCATGGTTTGGAATTTTATAGTTCTAAGTTAAGGGCAATGAGAGAAGGTTTTCTTTATGGACAAAATTAAGAAAATGTGTACACTGACATTACAAATGCCTGTTATTCTCCAGCTTCTCCCACCTCTGTTCTTAACCCCACTCTGCCACAACTCTTTTTGCAACATTGAATAAGACACTTCACCTCTTTAGGTCTCAGTTTCCTCCTCTATCAAATGAAGAAGGCAGGTGAGACAATCATTAGAAACCTCTTTTATCTATGATGGTCTGTATTTCCAATTTTTAAAATCTACCTCAAGGTTCAGAGAAGTATATGTCCAAGAAAATAGAAATGCGGTATGGTTTGATGGATAACTAGTTCCATCCCTTCAATGGGAATAAAGCACCCAGAGTGGGCACCCAGATAATATAATAGCTTCTCCCCTGGGCTCAGTGCTTGACAAGAAAGGAATATAGGCCAGATCCTCAGACAGAAATCAGCTGGGAAAATGTCACAATCAGGTGTCATTCCTTATCATTGATGTAAGCATCTCCACCCAGCTAATGGGTGATGAAGACTTGATTAACAAGGCAACTGTGTAAGGCAGGTGGGTGTTGGAGGGGGCTGGGCCACAGGGGAAGACAGAGGGGGTGGAATAATATGTACTGCACCAAAGGGATGAGAAAGATTGACAGTGATTAATATTTTCAGATGCCTTCATGGCCAGCTTCATGTTCAACTCACATAGATGGTCTTCCAGGACACCTGTTCATTTTAGCCTACTAAACCAGGCACTCTGTTATAAGTCGGAACTGGGTCCCATTTGATTTGATGTTCTTAGAGTGTGGCACAAGGTGGGACTCAATATGTTCATGTCAAATAAAAAAATGAAACTTCCTTATTTATGTGCCTGTCCTATGGGAATTTCCTGGATTGTTTGAATTCAGTGTGATTACCTAGGGAACACCAGAGAAGACTCATAGGCATGGCTTCTATGGACTTCTCAGTCAGAAAAGAGTCAGTCTGAATATACCTGCTGCTCATTGAGCCTTTCTTGTGCTAAACACTCCACAAACCACACCTCCGACCATCAGACTCAGATACTGCCCTGCCCCAGCTCCTCACCCTACTCTGCTTCAATTTTCTTCCTATACCATTTTACTACCAAATACTTCACTACATATTCATTTGTTTA